GGAAAGTTTGCTCTGGCATTTTTTTTTTTTTTTTTTTTTAACATTAATGTTTTTGAGCAATTTTTGTCGAATGAAAGAGGTACATAGCTACATACGTAAATCTAAAAAAATGTCCTATGTTGTTTACCCCCCGTTTTAGAAAAAAAATTTTTGATGCACACTTTTTTCGATTTCTAATAAAATTTTTATCCAAATGTTTTCCCATATTATACAGGAGTTTGTGTGCAGTATTTAACACAATCTCTGAATAGACTAAACATAACTTGTTCGAGAATCAAAAGTTTTTTAAGTTATCACACTATAATTGTAAAAAAAGTTACATTCTATGTCAAAATAAAATAAAACTAGAAGTATTTTTATCCTAATTAAAAATATTGCAAAGTTGATGAAACATTTCAAAAAATGTAAGTGGTTGACTCAATATTATGATGGCGTTACAAATCTATAAAAAGTTACAGTTTCTATGAATCAAACTTTTTTTTTGTTATAAGGTAATTTTTACCAAAATGAAGTATATGTTTAAACATGAGTAAATATTTTTAATAAATTATAACTTAAGTTGCTATTTGAATAATTTTTTAGTTACATTGGATTTTGTAATTTATTCAATTGCAGTATCGATAAATTCATCTTAAAAAATCATAATTTAAAGACAACTAATTTCTTGGACCACAATCTACAAATCAAATACCACTGTGCAACTTTCTTAACAGTCAATAAAAATACATGCAATCTTAAGCGACCAAAGTGTACATATTGTTTTAATATTGAAATGATTTTACGCTTTGATTTAGATATAGAGATAATGAAAGATTTATAAATCAATACTAAAACTTGTAGAACTTTTCTTTTGTAGAATTCTTAATGGCACTTATTTTAAAGATTTGATTTTTAATCATAACCTTTTATTGTCGTTAGAAAGTACAGAAAAAAATTTCAAAACAAAAAGTTTGATATGATTCTATCGAGCCAAGACATGGTTAATTTATTTTTTTCATGATTACAGAAAAAGAATTTAAAAGTTTTATTTTGAAAAGTAATTGACTAATTGTTAGTGAATTTGTAAGAATATGCTAACAATATGTCCCCACGTAAAAATGAACCAAGTAAACGAGTTGTGAAGATCGCACTTTGAACACTCGCATCAGCAACGTTAAAATAAATGCTGAGAATTTTTTTCAATAGAGTATAATTTCTCGTACCTAATGTTTTTATGCTAGTGATATAAGATGATTTTTATGAAGTAGGATTAATACGGAATATCGAAGTTCGTAATTTGTAACTATTGTTATGGAGCGATTTTTTGGAGTACATTATATATTTAAATATACAACTATACTTTTCTTAAAGTCCATATTTTTTTAAATGTAAGATTACAGGACACACTATTTTAAAATTTGGCTGATACTTTGATAACCTTAAGAACATAAAAAAATTGACTTCGAAGAAAATCCAATTAATGTATGGAAAATATATATTCTCTAAAGATATGAAAAAATATGCATTCAAATAACGTTTTTCTGACAAAAAAGAATGATACAACATTTTTGACATTTTTTTTCTGTATTCCTAGCTATGTAAGAAAAAAAATCATAGCCATGATTTTAGTGCTTGGTTTATGCTATTTCATTTTTCAGTTTTATCAACTTTGTTTATACACAAGTTATTAAGTTTTTCAAACCTATCGGTAGACCTGTAAACTACATTCAATCTCTGTTTGTTGGCAATGTTTTTAATTTCTGAGTTTATTTCTTTTGTGTCAAGCTGTTGAGCTGATGTATTTATTAATAAATTGTGAAGGAAAATTATTTGCCAGAAATGCATAACGAACATAGCAAAGGTAGTCTTTCTGACTTATTTTACCAGACAACTTAACCTTATTGACTAGACCATTAATAACATTAATTTTTTGTGATAATGGAGAGTGACAGCAAAAATTTAAATATAGGCCTGCATGTGTTTGCTTTTTATACCAATATATATATATATAAAGAACCATTTTCTGGCGTTTTCATTTAAATGTCCATACAACGTATACCGTAATTAACTGGAATTTTTACTGCGAATTGAATGTTTGATTTAAAATTATTCAAAGGGATTAAGAATAAATCCACTTTTCCTTTCGGAATGCACGTTAAAATGGCATAAGTATATCTGTAACTTGTTGACTAATCAAAATCTTATTTTTTAGAGTCTAACATTAAAGACATCCGTTTATAATTTGTTTACCATTGTGAAACAATTATTAAAAATTGCCTAGCGTAATTATACTTGTCTGAAATAATTTCATAAGATTTCGCATCTGTGAAAATTTTTTTTTCTAAGGGATGATACGAATAATAACTTTGCAAGAACGTAATGAATTATTTTCCATATATGGTTACAAAATAAATGGATGATACGAATAATAACTTTGCAATAACGTAATACATTATTTATAATATATGGTTTCAAAATTTAGTGCATTAGCAACATTTACTTACATCTGCAATTTTCTTAGTGACAATGTTAGGAAAGACATAAAATCCTAAAATTGCCCCAGTAGCTGCCAAAATTAATCCAAAAGTGGTTATCAATGATTGCCAGATAAGACAAGCCATTTTGCAAACTACTTTTTTAATTAATGCATGCACTGACGTAGATGAAACTTGACTTAAGTAAATAACTCAAAGTTGAAAGTAACTAACTCAGAATCTATAGAATATTACACAAGTTAAATTTAACACAAGCCGGTTGAGTGTATAATGCCAGTACAATGTCAATGAATAATGTCGATTTATACAAAAAATGCTTGATTTAATTTTTTTTCTTATCTTTCATGTTCATTGACCTAATTTGTCCTATCTACATTCTTCACCTATATGTGTTTTATCAATAAAAATCGAATCTATCAAGGGTGGTATACAACTATTATCATAATTTTATTAGAAAAAAATATTTATGTTTTGTTGTTAAAAAATTGCTTTTCAAGAAGTGCATCCATTCATTATTTAGCTTGGATAATTACTTAGTTGCTTAAATTCAATAAGATGTTGACAAAATTCGAAAACGTATTCTGCAAAACAATTTATCAGCATCTATAATACATGTGTAACTAAACTAGTTCAACCAATATTACTTATATTGTTTTGAGTTAAAAGATACAACACACAAGACTATGCTACAAAATATTATGAAAACCAAAGATATTTCTTGCCCAGAGAATCAAGTAATTGTGTTGGGAGTTACTCATATATAAATAATTGTACTTAATACTTGTAGTTTGAATATGTCTTATTAATGCTTCAAAAATAATTGATTAATAGAGTTTTCAATTTTAACGATAAAGTTTGCAGAGTAAATGTGTATGTATCTTTTACAATTAACATAATTATTGTATCTTTAAAAGGTAACCTTTGAAATGCGGCATAATCGTTGGTACTATTTTTAAAAGTTTCTTTACTTTATTTAATCTTGAGCTAATGTATTTATTAATAAATTGTAAAGAAAAAATTGTTTGCCAGCATTGCATAACGATAATAGCAAAGGTTGTTTTTCTGAAATTGTTCATTGAACTTATAAGCCTTATCGACTAGACCATAAATAATATCAATATTTTGTGTCAATGGAGAGTGACAGTTGAAAATTAAATGTAGCCCTACATATGTTGGCTTTGTACACCTACTAGTTATGTTAAAAACGCGTTTCGCACGTTCTTTGTTATTGGCACTTCTTTTATAATGACATATTTATAATCCATATTTTATGATTAGTAACTAGTATGTACTACACTTCTGAAAAAACGTACAAAAATTCACTTACATAGTTTCTCTTGTTTTTTTTCAACTTAACAAAAGGCCGTACTACATCTTACCAATACAGTTTTTGTTTTGCCACGAGTCATAACTTTTTTATTCTATTTTAAAAGGTTTGATGTAAATGAACAATGGTAATTCAAAAAATTGTTTGCATGTAACTGTATACATTCCATATCAAAGACGTTAAATAATTAAACTTTTTTTGGCAGATGATTTGATTTCATATTTTTTGCTGTTTAGTTATTTCTTTTAAAGCAAAAAGAATTGAATACTGTCACTCAATATTATTTTAATATTATATTGCAACAGTTTTGTGCATTTGACTTTGACTTTTTTTCATTTTTACTTCTTTTTTTTATGTGTAACTATATTTTACTCGTTTTAAAACCTTGGCCATAGTTTTCTTTTAATTAAACATATTGGGTCTCTCTGTCTATATATTATACGAAATTTCTCTTCCACTACATGATTCAATTTTAGAATATCGTGAGTGATGTAGAGTTGATGAGGCGTGTTTTTTCTTATTTTTGTTTTTTGTTGATTGTACTTTTTCAAATAATTTTTGTATTGCATGAATAGACTTATTAAGATCAGTTTCAGGATCTTGGATACATACAATTACTTTTTCCAACGTTTTTTTTATGCTAGTTTGTTTATTATTATTATGATTTTTTTTTTTTTAATTAAGAAATTCAAGCTGTAAAAGCAATTGAAAAAGAAATCTTTTGAACATTTCTTTAAAAAATTCATACGGATGTACAAACTAGTATTCCTCTTACGATGAATGGCATAAATAAAAGATTGGTCTCGAAAGTTTCTTTTAAAAAAATTTTTTCACAAAAATAAGGGACTTTGGAGAATTTTTTGTGGATTTGATCACATTTCTGTACAGTTTTTAACTAAGTAAAAATGTTCTTGAATTACTTTCTAGCTTCATAAAAATATAGAACCACAAGTTTTTCAGTATTGAGATATTAAATTTTTTTCAAACAGGTAATATCTTAAATTATTTTGTGTATGAAAAACTTAAAGTATTTAATTAATTTTTGATGATCAAAGAAAAATTATAGGACAGTACAGTCATTTCGTCTATGAGTAAAGTAAATATCAGTACCTTCATTGGATGGTTGTCGATACTGGGTAAATTGTTTAGTTAAAAATTATACGTATTACAAATTAATGTTCTGTCACTTACTGACAGTGCCCACGCCGAGGCGTCTGCTCTGGGCTTTCTTTCAGTTTTACATAATTTTGTATTTTAATTTGATTTTTTAGCTATTACGCAGCAATGATAGTGTCATACATTTTAGTTTCTTCAAAAGAAAAATTTTTCTTACAATATCTGGAAAAACCGTCATAAACATCTATGCTATCAATCATTGAATATTCAGAGGCTAGTTCCTGTACTAATTTTATTATAAACGGTGATGGCACGAAAAAGACAATACAGTGTGAGGTCACGGCTAGCGCTCAAACTACTCTCCACGTGCTGCTATCGGGGATAAGAAACTGTAAACAGAATTTCAGACAAGCAGTAGTCGCGTGGAGATGGGTGGGAGAAGAAGATCAAAAAAGACGGATACGGTCTGGTACAACGTTTAGTTGAGTTCTTAGTTCGTTTCCACTCGTGAAAACAGCTACAATAAGGTGGCTATTTGTTTGTGATCAGATTCATGTAAGTCAGTTGTGCATATTTCATTAAGGCGTTTACAAGTACACAAAGTACTGCGAGCCATCATAATAATTTTCTCCAATAGTAGAGATTTCAGGTAAGCACTTACTTTAAGTTCTTATTTCAATTTTTTAAGCATAAAATAATCGGACTGTAAATGAACATGGCCAATAGTGGAATCAAGAAATTCCATCTACAAACGTGGCGTATTACGCACGTGGTGACATTTAAAACACAGATGGATATGTATTATGCAGATAAAGAGCTAGTTTCTTTTACTTCAACACAGTTTAGCAATAATTGATTGCTTTCATATTATAAATAGTAAAAAATTATAGTGATGTCGATAAAAAAAATTGCGAAAACGACACTATATTGATTTACACATGTCTCGATTTACGATGATACTAGTACTTAACATGTACACATTACATTGACGTGAAATCAACATGAAAAATAGAGTTGTAATATTAATGAGACTTTAAGTTATCACTAATACTTTATAAAAATTTTTTAATTTAAAAGCGTGTTACCTCTTCAATTTTTATAAATAATTTCTCAAACCTCAGCCCTAACGGGGCTTCAATGATTTTATTGTGAACGTGGACAAACTAAAATTTGAGAAAGAGGTACTATGGAGAAGTTGCGACGATGAAGTGATCGGAAAAACACAGCTATAATGAGATATAAATTTCAGACGCACATTTTCATCGACTCTGCAAGTATGACATCACAGGGTCCAGCGTTTGACTCCAACTGCATGACGTTGACACGTTATGTACTGGCCGAGCAGCGAAAGGTACCGTCGGCCACTGGTGACCTGACGCAGCTGCTTAACAGCATACAAACGGCTGTGAAAGCGGTCAGCTCGGCCGTGCGAAAGGCCGGCATTGCCAACATGTGAGTACATATACCTATATGAACACAACGTATCACATGTAGGTACGGACGAGCTCTTTCCTTTTATAAAACTAAAGCTAGTGCTTACTTCGTCGTGTTTAGAAAGACGCGAGGCCATTGAACTTATGACGTTATCACATCATGAGCACGTAGATTAGAAAAGAGCTGATACTGGCAGTCCAAGATGAACGAACTATGTGTTCACAGTTTTTTTTTTTTTTTAAATATGAGACTTTGATGATTAGTAATAGAGAGAGTTAATTTTTAAATTGTGTCGCTATGACACGTGATTATATTTATACTCTAATAATGGTAATTAAAACGTGTTGTAACCATTTTTGCTGCAATCACTTGTAATTTAAACAGTATTTAGTATTTTATTTAAGAAGTTTTATACTGAGAGGTAAAATTTTTTTAAATTTTTTCAAGTGTAGATTAATGAAACTTTATGGTCATTTTATAGAGATTATTGAAATATCTTTGAATTATGTTGGAGTCTGAGGAATACTAACTGTTATCTTATCTCAAAAGAACGTGTTATTTCAATAACAAATCTGTGTTGCTGAATCAAAACATTCTTACGAAATAAACATCATAGTATTGTATTTACCAGCTAGTTGACCATACAATTACTTCTATAATTATTAACACTGCTAGACTTTTTTGAATTACTCCAAATTTTTTGAAATTACATTTATTGTTTACCACAAAGTGTACCATTAAATATTTCAAATTGTTTACTTGCAGAGAACTGCCACATCACCATGATAACCTTTGATAAAACTAGCTTACATAATTTACAGTGGCAACGTCAATATGAGTTATAAGCAGACCGTGAAATACATTCAGAATAAAATAGCTTTATAACATATTATGTTAGGCACGATCAATGCACTAAATAATGTAAAGAAAAAAAGTCACGCACGCAGTTATGTAATATTCATACAGTTATTTTTCAAACGATTTGTACCACTTTTTGTAGGAACAGAAATATATATTAAACTAAGAACTAAGTATGTTACAAATACGTTTATTTTAATCAATTTACGAAATTAAGCTTTACAATGCTTGTTCACTGCTCGCTTTCGGTACTGACTAAATTTGTTTGATGAAATCAAAAATTTTTTGAACTATTCTCATATAATAATGCAAATATCAATGATAACAATAACAACAATAAAAACGCAAATTCAAACTATCAATAAAATAATACACTGAATACTTTTTTTTTTATTTAAAAAACATTTATTACATTTGGTAGCTCTACTGTACTTTTAAAACAATAAAGTTGAAAGTATAAATGTTTAATTCATTAATATTTTCAACCTTCATACTTGACACTTTTCTCCTCAATGTTGAATACACGAGGAAGGTGCCATAAGACCGTCATTTCAACAATTTTAATAAATTCTTGTTTGTCACAGCAGCACGATAGAGTTCAGAAAAGTGACAATTTAAAGAATTGTTCGTTGTATTAGATGTTCGTATAAATTATTGTTACTAAAATAAAAAATGTATGAGATGATATGAAGTAACTTGTCAATATTTATAATTATCCATTATTCAAAGCGTCAAAATAATATTTCACAGAAACGTGTATGAGAACCAAATTTTTCTTCCTGTCTTAAAAGTTTTATGGTCTTAAAGTCAAGCCTGAATATTATTGGCTAGTGAGTAATAGCTAAAATTTTGTTGGTCTTTGCCTTAAAAGAGCACTTATTTTGAACGTATTTGTCTATCATAAAATATCCTATTTGATGGCTTTGCAGTTAAAGCTTCATTTTTTTGATATTTTAAAATCATTAAAAGGTAGAATGTGGACATATTTAAATGATCCAAGTCTTGAATTTTTTGTTTTCAGAGGCTGAAAATAGCGTTAAATAATTCAAGTATTATACCTTATTTACGTTATGACAATTTTTTGATTTTTAAGAAGTTTTTTAACAATTTTAAGTAGTTGTGTTTATCCACAGATAATATTGTAACTACAATTCTTTTTTTACAAAAATTCAATCCGTAAATGCTTTGTAAATCGAGTTTCATCAATGTCGATACCATGACCATATAGTCACATAACGATGTGCAAATATAATTGTTGATAACTTTTTTCTCATGCTATGCAGGTTAAAAAAATTTTGAATGAATCTACTTTACATCAATATCAGTATTCTATAAGTGAGCCAAATTTTATAAAAATTACTACTATTTGACATGCAAAATTAAAATATTCCATGTCATCAATTAGCAAAAGTACTAGTGAAAATTTTAGTTAAATTATATAACACCAAAAAACTAACTTGAATACTTTTATTCTTTAGAAAAGAGAGTTACTTATTTGAATCGTAGAATGAAGTGAAAGTTTGGAACTATTTCATATGGACTGCAGTAAAAATCTATTTCAAAACAGTCAATCTAAAGATTTTGACATATATTAGCACCTCATGTTACGAGGTGAAACTTACTAAGTTTATTTTATCTCGTATATCAATTTCAATGTTGTGGCTTAATTTTGTGTAAAAAGGGTAAAGCTGTCTCAAATATGTGTAGACCAATGGATGAACAGTAAAGTAGTCTGGAAACCTTCAGAGAAAAAAAAATTTAAGTAACAGAGTTATAATGCATAGGAATGTTACACAACGTAGGAAATAAAAAGATTTAAGTGAAAAAATTTGTTCTTAAAAATACATGATTATAAATCCAACAGGTATGGCATTGCTGGCACGACTAATATCCAAGGTGAAGAAGTAAAAAAGCTGGATGTGCTTAGTAACGAGCTGTTCATTAATATGTTGACTTCTTCGTTCACAACATGTCTGCTCATTTCTGAAGAAAATCCCACTGCCATAGAAGTGAATCTGGAAAATCGTGGAAAATATATCGTGTGTTTTGATCCCCTCGACGGTTCGTCCAACATTGACTGTCTCGTGTCCGTTGGTTCCATCTTCGGCATTTACAGAAAAGTCAACGAATGTAAGCCTCCGAGTGTGGAAGATGCCCTGCAATCAGGAAAAAATTTGGTTGCTGCAGGATACGCACTCTATGGTTCGGCAACCATGATGGTACTGTCTATCGGTCGTGGGGTGAATGGTTTTACCTATGACCCAGCTATTGGAGAGTTCATACTTACTGAGAAAAATATGAAAATACCACCAAAAGGCAAAATATACAGGTAAAAACAATCTTAGTTTTCGAAGTACTAGTTTTTGGACAGTACTCTTATACTTTATGTGGATTGTTTGTTTAATAACAGTATATAAAGAAATCTGAGGATGGGTCCGTTTTAGGTTCTGCGATTGAGTGAACTATTAAATTTCAGTGGTTGACTGCAAGAACCACGTAGACGATTTTTCGGTATTATTGATCCTCATTTCCCTTTGTTGACAATCGTAAAAAATCTATAAACCCACCTCCCCAGTAAACTTATGTTGCCTCAGAATTATTTTCTTAATGATTGAAGGAACTACACAGTAATAGTTCATTTTTATTTTTCAATATTTGCTCTTACAATTACAATCCATACATGCCCTTTTCTGCATACAAATAAAATCAATATCAAACTAATCTTAAGTTAATTAATAGTAATAAAATATTGCTTTTTTAGAAATAAATTATGTATGAATAAATATTCTTAATTTTTCTCCATAACTTGACATTGAATAAGACTTTCAAATTGTCAAAAATGAAAAAATTTAGTCATTGATTTTTCAAACGTATCTCTTAAATGTAAAATAGATTTGATAAAAAATTTACAGATGGATTTGATATCTAACCATTTAACCGTATTCACTAATGTAGAGCACAGCAGTTCTTTAGATTATTTTTTCAAAACCTGAAGTTGTTGAATCCAAACTTTTTTCTAAAGTTAAAATAAATTTTTTTCGTTTCTTTACGCCTAATAAATATAAACAGTGACAATAAAAAAAATAATGGTCAAGATATTTAGAATTTTTCATTAATTCTATAATGCAAAATAGAGACCATAGACAACACAATAGTAATTTTCATCACAAATGTGCACATCTCCAGAGTGGACTTTTGCGATCTGGTAGGATGCACATAAATGATGAACACTACTTTTTCTACTGAAAGCACAGCATTCACTCAAAAATGCGCAAAGAAAGAAATTATTAGTTTTCCTACCATAGGTGCAAAGTAAAAAAATCTCGCCCAAAGGGTGAGATTTGAGTATGTTTTGTGTGTCCAAGGGGCGAACCTTTTTTTTTCTTCTCATTTATTTTATAACGAAACCTTTGAAGAAACAACAGCAGAATGCAAATAACTCCTTATCAACTTCCGAAACGTCGTAACATCTTGATTTTTTTATTTTAAAATTTTAGTCATGAACTGCTCTATGCAATAGAAATATTTAAAAAAATTTTAATAATATTGTTTATTTTTTTATTTATCTATTATGTTTATCACGTTCATTTATTTAATTCAGGAATTTCCACACATTATTTTATAAATACTTATTACTTAGTTTAAGGCTTCGAAGTTCCAACTTTCTATTTTTCTGCACAGTTTGATTTTACAATAAACAGTAGCTGTTATTAATATACGAAAAACATAATAGCATTTTGAGCAATAACAATAGTATGTAAAAAAGTCAAACAATCAAAATTGCAATAGATTAGTTAAAAATATTTTTATTTTTAGCATAAATGAAGGTAACGAAACGACATGGAATAAAGGTATTAAAGAGTACATTGATTCAAAAAAAAAACCACCCAGTGGAAAACCTTACAGTTCCCGTTATGTGGGGTCCATGGTGGCTGATGTTCATCGCACTATTAAATATGGCGGAATTTTCATGTATCCAGCCACAAGTGACAACCCAAACGGCAAAGTATTATTAAATATATGCTCATGCTAATGGAACAAAAAAATGTTTAAATTTAATTACAACTACTTTTTTAACATTACGTATGATTTACAGCTTCGTTTGCTTTATGAATGCAATCCAATGGCATACATCGTGAAAGAAGCTGGTGGTTTGGCCTCAAATGGAGAGATGAGTATTTTAGATATCGTACCATCAAACATTCACCAAAGATCACCCATTTTTTTGGGCTCAACTAATGACGTTGAAGATGTCTTGAACTGCATCAAAAGACATAAATAAAATCTTTTGTTAACTAAAATCACTTGTTTTTTCACTTTTTACAAAGTTAATAATAATTTTTAAAAATTCTGCCATGCTTACTCTTTAAGTTTACTGAATTTTGTTGTACATGAATGTCAAAATGCTATGANAAAAACAAAAAGTCCCTGCTGGACTACCCCATGCTAATGTGAGTGTACATCATGTTGGCATCAAATGTGAATCTGCATCCGCTGAAGTTGAGTTTAGCAGTTCGATCAGGTTCAATGATCGGACTATACTTGAGTAAAGAAACTCCAATGATGCACTTTTGCAAATCCAACGTGAAGTATAAAATGCAAGATAGCTTTAATTATACCCATATGAAGAGTATGTGTATAGGTGGTTACCACGAAATAAAATCCCTAATATTTCGTAATTGGGTCGCCTTTTGCTTTCTGAAACGATTCAGCTGTCTCATACTTTCTTTTCCTTGATTTTCTTTTTTAATTAATCATCTTTCTGAAAGATTCTTTTCGGCTAATTACGTAAAATTGCTTTTCCGCCCTCGAGTGGTTTTTCGAGGCTGGTACTTCCTCGGGCGAAAAAGCAGTTTTCCGGAACTCGTTCGAAAAGTCTCCTTTACGAACCTCGTTACGTCCCTCGCCTTCGGCTCGGGCCGCAAACGTCTCGGTTCGCAAACAGAGACTTTTCAAACTCGTAGGAAAACTACCATTTTTTCTTACCATGGGCCCAAAGTGCAACTGGCGCTTTGCGCCCTCGGGTCACACTTTGCGCCATTGGAATCACTTTCGGCCCACGGGCAAAAAAGTTTTTTGCGCCTTCCAGGCCCAAAGTACTTTTCTCAAAGTGACTATACTATATAATATGACATAGCTCATGTTTGTACTTTGTGCCCTTGTGACGTAATGTACCATTCTTATCAATTAATGTAAAACCATTACATCAGTTATCGGGAATATCATATAGTTTCATAATTTCCTACGTAGCATTCTTAAACTTAAATAGAAAAAGGATGTAGCTTTCTGGTAAAAAATGAAATTTTATTAAGAACTCGTTCCATACATTTATGTGGAATTAGGCCATCAAAAAAATTAACTTGTTAAAAATCTCTGGTTATCGGTCTGATTGATTATGATTTTTAGTACAACATTAATTTTAATTTTTGTTTTATTTGATCTTTAACTAATACTTTTTTGATAGAATTGCCAAACAATTTTGTAACTGCTTCCATTTGTTTAATGTTTTATCTGTCGATCTTTGCACGGATACACTTACCTAATTAATGACTTTTCTAATATGAATTTTGAAACACCATCGTACAGAAAGTAAAATTGTTTGTCCTTTCTCTAGTAGTCTGAACCATAAAATGAATTATGAATTAATATTCACCTTTTTTATTTGTGGATTCATGTTAGGCTCTATTGAATTAAAAAATAATTTTTTTGTTAAAGTATAACGATACTGAATATTAATAATATAGCCATAATATCCAGTCATATACACAATTTATTCTAATTTTATTTATAAGTAAATTATTTTGTGAAAACCTTCAAGATCTGTAAGAGTGTATACAAGTATGCACAAGATTAAAATAAAAACATTTTCAAAAAGAATTAAATGAAAATAAATATAAAGTGGTCGATTGACTTCATTTTTTACTCTTAAGCAGTGATAAAATTTTTAAAAGAGTAAAATATTGGTATTTTTTTCAAACCTATGAATGTGATCCTAAAAAATGACTTAATTTTATACATGCGTTCTCTTATTGCTTCCCTAGATACTCAGCTGTGCGTTATCATAATCCTCCGGATATCATATCATTTAATATCATAAAACAACGATGAAAAGCTTTAAAAATTGACTTTTTCAAAATTAATTTTTAAAAATTAATAAAATCAAAATAAAAATCAAAAACTTAATTTTTGGAAGTGTCGATATTCATAAATTGACAAAATCGAAATATAAATAATCAGTAATGGGCCAAAAGACAAAAAAAATTGGCCAAAGTGTTGTTAAAAGGCACCCCTTGAAAAAGGCGGCTTTGAACATTAAGCGGAAAGAGGCTTGAGTCACCTTTGAGGATTAGATGAAGAGTCCGTTAATAAGACTGAAGAAACCTGGGGGCATTGTGCCACAGTTTGGTAGACACTTTTGTTGAAATTCAGACCGTTACACAGTATATATTAATGGGTAGCATATAATATCATGTTATCTACTCCAACAGCCAGAAGTCCATTGCGACTCTCGAGCGTTTTTTCACATGTAGTCTGGCATGCCAAGGCACGCTCAGCACGTTCGAGTAGTATGGAAATCTAGAGAGTTTGAATGCACTATCTTCTAATAATTTTTTTATTTCCGTATGTAATTTCTCTGTTAGCTTCATCGGGTATCCAGCTCTTTTAGTGATGACTGATCACGTACGAAGGGGTTGAACTCTATGTGTTCTCTGATATATCTTGTTTCTCTTTTGTTGCATCTTAAAGTATCGACAAAGTTAATCTCAAGACTTTACTCTGAAGTAATGAATAATAAAGCAGTGATGGACTCCTTAGAAAAAAATAATCCTATTTTCAAAATCTAATAATGCGGTCCCAAAAAATTAATGAATTTTATATTTGAACTTTCGTATACCATGCTATTCTAGACACTTGGTTGTACGTTTTCCTGATTCACCAGATGTTCTACTTTATAACATGCTTAAATAATGATTAAAAACTTCGAAAATCGGTTTTTTGAATGATTGATTTTTAAAATTGATAAATTTGATAAAGTAAAACTGAAGAAAGTGTTGAGTTAATTTCGAACACAAAAGGTTTGGAATTTTAATTTCAATTTATATTTTTGTTTATATGTAACCAAAATTAGTTTAATATATTGTAGTACACTAATTTCTTTATCAAATAAAAGATAAATAATCATCGTAACTTCAATATTCCTTGAATTATTTTATTTCTCGCTTCGGTGTTCGTAATTACCCCTACGCTGCCCTACGTTTTGATACGTAAATGTTTTCCTTGGTTGCTGATTCTGTAATTCTGTATCTTATTTTAAAACTGATTCTGTGCAGATCTACGGATATGGTGATGGGGGCTATTGATAACAAACTCAATTCTTATATGATTTAGAAAAACTAATATTCCGAAAAATAGTAATTTTCTTTTTTTCTTAAATTCACTTAAAGTAGGAGCAATAATGAAAATTAACTCCACTGTAATTCTATTTGTGAATCGACACTTATAGTTTTACAGTATTAGAAAACTCATTTTCTGTTAAAACTAATGTAACTTTTGAATTAACATGTTGTGGAATTTTAGAACAACATTAATGATCATGATAGGATACACTCGAAATAATAATTGCAATTATAGTATACAGAAAAGATAGTTAGTAGTATAGGTCTGTTCTATAATATATCGGGCATTTCAGAGGTCATGTTGAGTATTGCTAACAGAGAACCGTGTAAGCAGATCAGGGTATTTGATGAAATTATGCGTAAGTCTATAAATAAATAATGAATATAAATAATCGATCCATAAGTTATATGTAGAAGTATTAAAAACTTAAACAAGTATATAATGGACTCGGCTAGTAAGAAATTGCGTGTAGTTCATTGTATAAAGTTCAGCAGCATAAAGCATTTAGGAACTACTTTGCTGATATGGTATTTGAAGGACCACAAGGAGTCAAGAGTAACACCCAAATCAGTTAGAGAGTCAACTCGTTTTACTTCACAGTTGTTAATTGAGTAATTATAGTTGACATGATTTGGCTTTTGTTAACCGATAGAACCTTGCACTTATTCTCATGGACCATGAATTTGCTTTTGGAGCACCACAAGGCCGTGTTTAAGGATCGGACTGTAGAAGTAAGGAATCTTTATGTGTTTGAAATGCGTTTATGGATTTTTATGTCGTCTGCATTGATTAAACCAGATGATTCAAATGAGAGTGCTAAAAGAAGGCTGTTCATGACCCGTGTAAATAATAGTAAACCAATGTGCTAGCCCTGTGGTACTACAAAAGTGGCTAAAAATTTATCCAATAAGGTGCCAAGGAGGCCGACTCTCAACGTTCTGACTCTAAGAAACGAGACGAGCTATCTACATAATGTACCACCAATACCAAAAGAACTAGTTCAAGTAAGGATTGTGTTGTGAAGATCGCTATCAAAGGCTTTGGCCATATCCAGGAAAATGTCAATCTATGCACCTGACTCGAATGCAAATAAGACAAAGTGGATAAGCATCAAAAACTTTGAAATCGTCAGGCGCCCCTCAGTAAATCTATGCTGATGTTGTCAGAGTTTAGAGAAAAGAAGTGCAAGAGGATGACAGATTCCTGAAGAACAATTAATAATGAAGGAGGATTGAATTAAGTCTGGGCCAGAGTGATTAAAGTTTTTCAGTTGTAAAATATCAGCCAGTATAGTTGAAAGGGAGAAAGTGATGTCAATGTCTATGGTACACTAGATAGTGGGAGCTGAGATGGAAAAGGGGTGTTTATATACGGAGGAAAAGTGTTTAGTGAGCCAGTTGCACTTATCAATAGGAGTAAAAATTGGGTCTGTGTTACGACTTAGTATATCTAAAAACTGATTGCGTTTTGTGCAAACCTTGTTGAAGTTCCGAGATTGCCGAATATCAGTCCTTAGTCCTGAAATTCCGACTTCATAATGGATCCTTTGTACAGTGTTTACGAAAATCTTAGGCATTCAGCTCTAAGTCTCTTAAATGTGATAAAGTCTGTCAGTACTCCAGTATGCTTCCAGACCTGATAAAAGCGTTTCTTCTTGTGGATCAGGCCAAGCAGCTCTTGTGTGAACAAAATAGACGACCTAAAATGTGTGGTAATCGAAGTTCTTGAAGTCTCTGTAGCTTGAATGTGGGTTAATTACGAGCAAAGTCGATTTAGTCGATCAATAAAGACGTTGTGAAGCAAAACAAAAAATTTTAAAGTTTTTTACTCATTATTATACTTTTTGAAATAGTTAGTTCAATAACTTCAGTAGCAATAACGTGACTATCAGATATAAACAGGAAATTCAATGTATAGTCATGACTAGAAATGGGTTTGAAAATTCATTGAAGGTCCAGAATATTTCAAATATTGAGAGATGAGTAGCAGCTTGATGTCGGTCCGATGG